TTACTAATATGTGCAATTTATATATATGCGTCTATTGACCATTCGAATGGTCAAACACTTATCTATTGTTTATCTTCAAGTGTCAATAGCCTCAAAACGTATACGGAAATGAATTTTGAATGCCTGGGACTTGATCAAATCCTTTATGCCAATTGCCAAATGCATTTTATCAGCACACGACAAATATTTTTTGGTATTGGAACACTGCGGACACACGTCCTGCCCACATACACGTATACACACACGTATGAGCCCCCTGGGGCCCAATTCAATTCCGTCTAGGGTTGCGTAGCAGCCCCCTGTTCTTTTATTTATTCCTATAGTCCCAATCCCTTTGTCAATTTGATTACTCACTCAGCCTCTTCAATTTTTTACCCTAAAAGAATGATAAAATTGTAGGTTAACCCTTGAAATCATTAATTTACAACATAGTACCTATTTATTACCTGCCCAGGCTTTTTCTTTTATGTCCAATTACATAACTGGCTAAGCTTTCCTCCCATAGTTTAACCTTTTACCATTAGCCATTGGGATTGAGATTTGTGCATTCAAAAGATTTACAGGTTCTTTAGACCGTCATCCTTTCCATAATAATAATGAAGATTTTAGAGGACAACTACTTTAAGTATAATTAAGAAACTTGTATCCACTAAATTGTGATCCTACTAATTATTGCCCTAGAGCGCAAGATAGAAGATGAGCTACATGTAACCTTTTCACAAGAAGGTAAATTTTTTTCCAAGAAAGTATCCATAATAGTTATTTTATAATTCTTATAGTACATTTTTATCCTGTTTTTTAAGCGTATTTTTTTATCTAGCACTTTAAAGGACAAAAAACATAATAATTCTTTAAATTAAAAAATCTACTCTGAACGACATATTACTACTTGTAGGACAGAAACAAACTAAATGATGGTTCAACTTCTTAATTGTAGTGATTTTCGTATTTATATTTATCGTTCAAACATGTCTCGATCTTTAGTTGCCTTTTTTTCCTTTTAAGGTAAATTCTTTTTCTTTCTTTTGGTAATAAAAAAAAAAGTTTAGAGTAAAGAAAAAAACTTGACACAACATATGCATAAAAATTTGCAGTACATTATAAAACCACATAAATTGTTATTAGAACTTATCTAAAGTACCACACAAAAAATCTCCCCACTCTCCCCCCAATGCCGCCCCAACATCCCTCCAATCCCTAAATCCCATCTCCAAGAAAGCCCCGCCACCCATAAAAACAGCTCAAGATTTTGACCGTCTTTTTTTATTTCAACAAAAAGCACCGGCCCACCAAATCAAGGTGCGGTCACACACGCAGAAATCATATCAAATCAAACCGCCCATACAAAACTATATAAGCAAAAATTAATTGAACCCACCTGAAAGAAGAGTTAGTATTGGCTTTCCAGTTCAAGAAAACTTGAGGCGGTGTTTACCATTGGCTGCTCCATCCCAGGCCACCTCCCCACTTTCTCTCTTCTCCTTTCCTATTAGTACCAGTTTACCATTTCTTTCTTCTTCTCCTTCTTCTCCACGTAAAACCCAGAAACCAATTCTCCTTCCAATTCCAAGAAGGATCACATTTTTCTTTTTCTTGTTTTTGGAATAGTAATACATATCCAGAATCCGTATATTTCCAATTTAGTGTTGCGTAGGAAAGTTGTTTCCTTTTTTGTACCCATAGAAACTTGATCTTTATATAGTGTTGAGAGTTCTGAAGGTGAGCTGCTTATTCTACAGAGTTCCCCAAGATCAATTTTTTTTTTTTGGTTCTTTTCTTCAGCTGAAAACTTGTTTTAAGATTTCTTAGCTTTCTTATTAAAGATCTCGGAGAAAAAAACTGTGCTTTTGAGATTCTGTTTCTTGCAAAATAGTGGTAAAGATTATAGGTTCTTTGCCTTTCTTTTTTGGTTGTCATTTTGTGAATATTCTCCAACTCTGCAGAAGTTCTTTTTTCTGGAATTCTTGCAAGCATTGATAGCTTTGTGTAAGAATTCAATTCCAAACAGAGCTTTGATTTGATTACTTGTATAGGTTTTTTGTTCCAAAATGGTTAAAGTTCAGAATTTTTTGCTTCCTTCTTGGTTTTAGAATTAAGAACTTTTATTAGGCCAATTGGTAGTTTTCTTCCTCAAGGCGGTTTTTTCCTGATTTTTTGCTTCTGCCTCACGGCTTTGACAAATTCTTGCACAACAAATATGTCGGTTATGGAGAGTAATCTGCAGCAAAGTCGGTTTCTTGCTGTCCCTCTTAAGACTAACGATGAATATCCCGATGGGTTCATGGCCTTAGCTCCAGAAAACAGCAGAGTTGATCAAGAAGAAGATATGATCAGCTCAGAGCCTAATAATGCTGATGATCAAGACATGGTTTCTGATTGTGAAAGTAGCACCACCAACGAAGAGGGATTGGGAATATTTGGTGATTGTTCTATCAAGGTTGACGAAGATGATAAGCAGCATGAATTTATCAAGCAAAGATTTGTTTCGAGTTTGACTGAACAGGGGCTTACGCATACTCAAATTGAAGCCATTCATAAGAATGCTTGTTCTAGCTGGACAGCTCGAGCAAGGTTTATGTCTTTTTCCATCTTTTCTCGAGCTTTACAGAAGAAGACTGAAGGCCATCCTAATGTGAAGCATGCTTGGTATGGCGCATCTAAAGATGAGATCAGAAACATATTTCTACATGGTTTCGGTAACACTTTAAATGATGGAATTTATGGCCGTGGAATTTATCTTGACCCTTCTGATTCTCTTCGAGAGAGGTAATTTTCGGGAATGATTGTTTGCTTGATTTAATCTGTCAAAGGGATTTATTATTACCCTTCTGATAAATGCTGTCTTTGCAGTATTCAATCCTCAGTTGTTGATGAAGATGGGCTCAGGCACCTAGTGCTTTGCCGTGTTGTATTGGGGAGAATGGAGATTGTTCATCCTAATCAATCTCATCCCAGTTCTGAGGAGTTCGATTCAGGGGTTGACAATTTATTGTCTCCTAGAAAATATATTGTTTGGAGCACTCACATGAACAATCAAATATTCCCAGAATATGTTGTCAGTTTCAGACTCCCATCCAACTTGAAAGGTAAGTAATTTATAATGGATTTGGAGTTTCTGATGCTGTTAAATAAGTCTAAGGTTCTGATTTTTGGCGTTCTTTACTTGCAGGATGTCAAAGGATTTCAACTCCCCTCAAGATGCCTAGCTCACCTTGGATGCCTTTTCCAACATTGATAACTGCACTTGCAAAGTTCTTGCCGCCTAATAGCATCAAAGCGATCCAAAAACATCACAGTGATCATAGAGTAAGTGTCTGGCATTCCTTAGCCTCATGATCTTGACAGTCCCATCTGCATACTAAACTATGCTCCGGTTGTCAATTTTGGAATTTCAGGAAAAGAAAATCACAAGACAAGAATTGATACAGCGAGTTAGACGAATTGCAGGAGACGATTTGTTGGTGGCTGTCATAAAATCCTTTAGAGACAAGGTCTGACTACATGCAATTAGTTAATGGGATTGCTTTATTTCCCATTCTTTAGGATTACTTCCCTATATCCTTGTAATCTTTCTTTCGAGATTTCTGCATGGTATATGAATGTTCCGGGATCATGTTTTCACATGTAGTTTTGGCTTTGCACCTAATTGTTTATTACAATTCTGGTGTGGTTTGCTCATGTGCAATAGATGATTGTTGCCTAAGTTGATTCAAGATATTCAAGTTGACAATTTGGAAAATAACTTCTGTCAAAAGCGTTGAGGTCCACTTCGTTCTTGGCTTTTGAGCCATAGCAGGATAACTTGCATGAGAATAGATCTGCTTTTGTTTTGGTGGTTGAGTTAAATTTGGTAGATCCCTTGAAGATACAAGGTTGATCTACAAGTTTTTCCCTAGAACCAAAAAAGGTTCTTCCAAAGAAGCCATGGTAAACTGTAGTTTGCAAGTCAAAATTGATTTTAGCTTTGAATGTAGTCATTCCAGTCCGTCTACTATTGGAACAGACGAGAAGAAAGATCCTAGTGGCCTTTGAGAAAAAATGCTAGACAACCTGATCTTATAGCCAAGTTGTAGGCAAGTTGCAGTGCATCTTGTGTCAATTTCCACCTGTTGTAGTGCTGCAATCCTCGTAGGGAGTTATGGGATTTTGCATATTCTGTTATCCTTCTCAAAATATTTTTCATATCATTAAAGAAGAAAAGAATTGCCTAAATAAATGAAAAGATCAAATCCAATACATGATCTCTCTCTCTCTCTCTCTCTCTGTATAGCTTCCAATTTATATGCTCGTATTCGTTTCTTAAACTGAAAATTCCTTAATTTTGTCACAGATGGAGACATCAATGGTATTTCCGCCAAGCAAGAAGCCAATCAAGTGCCACAAGCAGCGTGGAAGAGCTTGTGGTTGCTCCAAAAATTGAAGGCTTCAAACTCTTTTAGAAGGCAAAATGGATGCTTCGGAGTTCAGATATAGATACAACTAACCTCATAGGCCTGATGACTTAGAAACAACATATGTGCAGAAAATAGCAGAGTAGTTTCTTAACCATATAGCACTTTTTCTGGTTTTTTCTGTTGTAGTCCATCATTACAAAGTTGTTGCCATAGCAATTTGGCTGATCAGCAATGAAAGTTGGTTTTCTTTCATAATGGATTTGGAATTTGCAAATTCCTGTGCCATTGCATCTGTTCCATCATCTGCATCATGACAGCTTAGAGCATTTTTTATGGCTAGAAATGGACCAATTGGTTCTTCAGAGTAGTCATGCATATTAAAACTGTGGGCAGTGACATCAACCTTCTGTCTTTTCCTGGACCACGGTGAATTTAGGAGCTAGTAATACTTTCTGTAAACATCAATAAGATAATAAAAAGGAAAAAAAAAAACAAAGAGGAAGAAAGAAGAGGGGAAAAAAGGAGATGAAACAAAAATCCCAATCTATAAACGAACTTGGAATTATACCTGAGTTAAGCATTACTAAAAGTAGACCTCACCAAAAATGTTCAACGTTTATTTTGTGTTTAAAGTGATTTAAATAAGTAAATAAAAGAATAGCAATTTGTTTAAAAAGATAAAATTGTTCTTGAACGATTGTACGTACTCACAATTATTCCTATCCTGTGAAATCTCGAAATGATAGAACTATATCGAACTTTGCAAAGTTAACAACTTTTCTTGAAAACAAAAATTGAAATACACAATCAACTAGCTAAGTTAGGCACCTCAGACTGAGCTGTGCTGATGGGCTGACAATTCAAGCTGTAAAAGCATATTCTTGGAATTTAAAATCCACGGCCAAAGTTTTTTGTCTAAACTATTCTGCCTTGTTGCAGAGGCATACCAGACTGGACAAGACAACGCCCACCAAAGTTTGCCCACTTGAATTATTTCTTTGCCATTGGATTGTTCTCTGCAATTTGCAGCTGCAACAGCAAATCCCGTGTTCATACCAATACCAAACCATGCTTAGCAGTTAGCAGACTTCGGCCACTTGAATATCCGTGTGCACATAATTTGGTCAAAATTGGTATGGAATAGAACAAAAGAGCAATTTAAGTAATTGAATTCCAAGCTTCGATTGATTATGTCCTCTTTCTATTTGATTGCAATTCCTAAGACACAATCAAAGATGATAATTCGATGTGGGATTAGGGTGAAATTTTCTACACAAAGGGTTTCAAAGAATTTATCTTGCAGTTCCACAGAATACAGACATGTTTTGAATCCATCCAACTCTCATGAAAGAACCAAACACAATACCATTCTTGAGATGAGCCTAAGGTCAGCAAGTCAAAATCCAAAATATTAATCCGCAAGAATTATTTCACCTCCGCGACGTGGTCGGATCAATTTCACTCTCGAAGTTGGGAAGAATCACCAGCTCCAAACAAGCTTATGCCATCCATGGAGATTATATGAGTTAACCAATCAATCCCATTGGTCCTGTAATCAGCATACAGCCATGATCAGTCAAACTAATGCAGCTGAGGCAGCAAATAAGATGGAGATAAGACTCTGAACAGATGAGGGGATGTTCGTTCTTCTTCAACTAGTTTTCAAAGTAAATAGAACTTTTAATTTCAAAATATGAGACATGTCTACATATTTGCCTATTTGGCCTTTTCCCACCTTTCTCCAGGAAATAAAGATACACCACCCCTCAAATTGATATAAACAGGAGCTTGCCAGCTGATTGCTCATAAAACCTATGCAACTAAATTCTTGTGACACTAAAACAATTTGATCCGAGTAATGCTGCAGATTTTCCTAAGTGTTGATGTATATAGCTATTGTGAGCCAAAAAAAAAAAAATACACCACGTCCCAAGAAGGAATGAATAACACCCACTTATATAACAGGCAATCTGATTAAAAACCCAAGACACTGTTATAGAAATTTTACACATTTTGTCAAAATAAATAACATACTGGTATAAATTTTACACACTTTGTCAAAATAACATACTAGTAATGATCATACAATGTTCAATAGTCATAACTACGAGATGGCAAGCATCACTCGTATTTGGAAATTTTACAACAAAAGAATTCTGGTTTCCAAACTCTTTCAATTTGTTCTATGCATCTTGATGGAAATGAGACTGTGCATGTCCCCTAGATGAAATGGAATAGAAAAACTTAAAGTCAGGAAAATCTCAGCCTATTGAAAACTCAAATACGTTAGCCAATCCCGAACTTAATGTAAAAGAACATTGTTGCATGACAACATAATGGATCTAGTCAAAATTTACTATGACATTATGCAAATCAAGTCTGGAACTTTTAGTTATTATCTTATGCTTCAATCAAGATAAAGTTTACCCAATCATACTGACAGAAGAAAGAACTTTTCCAACATAAGATGAAAAGCTTTTCAGCCAACGGTCAGAGTTTCTCAGCTTCATTACTTCTTAATGACTAGAAGTGGAAGTGGATATTTGTTAATGCTATCCCATCAGTCTGCTAGATGCCTTTGACCACAAAGATGTGATCTTAGCTTATGCCCAAATGCCACTTGTTTGTAGGATGTAGAATTCAAGGGTCACACCAGCAGAAGCAGCTTTGCTATGTGCCTAGAATCCAGAAAAGAGTGCACCTGCAGAAAGGAAAAGTTGGATATCAGTTGAGTATAAATTCAGAGAAAAGCACTACAAGTGCATTCATGTCAAAATTTTACTGAAAGACTACATGTGGAACATACCATCATTGTCTACCTGCAGTTTGAACTGAGAGAAGCTTGTCACGATTTTGACTAAAAGAAGAAAGACAACCAACTCTCATTCCACGATAACAATTCAACCACAATGATTCAGCTGAACAGCTAATGGATCAGTAACAATTCAACCACAATGATTCAGCTTAACAGCTAATGGATATCAGTAATTGTCTTTCTTATTGCTCTGGTCTTATGAGCTACTTTTCCAGGTATCAAGTGACCTGCTCGCCAGTGATTTCAAGTGTCTTTGAAAGTCCCCTACCTTATAAACTCATAAAACTCTCTGATTTGATGATCCAAGATGCCCAATGTCTCATAAATAACGCATCGATGCGGGTGAGAATAGTCTCCAGCTAGAAATTCGTTTTTCCTATTCTCTACTTCAATCCAACTGCAACCAGCCGGCTTCTTCAGATCTCTCAGCCTCATCAGCTTCCTCATTTTCAGGACATTTTCCCAACTAGAATTCGAAGCGTATAAGTTTGACATAGCTATGTAGTTTCCAATATCACTTGAATCGATTTCAGAAAGGCGATCAATGACGGAACGTGCCATTTCAACCTCATTGTGGATTTTACATGCCCCAAGCAATGCCCCCCATACATTGGCATTAGCCTTTATCGGCATTTTGGTCGCAAATGAATATGCTTCCTTGATTCGACCTCCTCGTGCAAGGAGATCAACTAAACAGGCATATTGCTCCATACTTGGTTTCATGTGGTGCACCTGTTGCATGGACTCAAAAATCTTCAATCCTTCATCCACAAGACCAGTATGACTGCAAGCAGATAGGACAGTGGTTATGATAACATTATCTGGTCTCAGACCTGACTCAAGCATCTGATAGTAAGCCCCAACAGCTTCTTCACCCATTCCATGCATGGCATATCCTCCAATCATTGATGTGAACAGAACAAGATCCTTTTCACTAGCCGACTGGAAGAGATTATATGCAGATTTTATGTTTCCACATTTTGAGTATATGTCTAAGAGAGCTCCCTTAAGATGAACATCTGCAAAACAAGCCCTTATCACATACCCATGGCACTGCCTCAGCATATTGACAGAGGCTAATTTAGCACATACAGGAAGAAGGCTCATGATGGACATGGAATCAGGCTTTACACCACAAAATTGCATCTCATGAAACAGACTGAGAGCTTGACTAGGACAATCATTTTCAGCATAAACTCGCACCATGAGATTCCATGTGGTCAGATCCCTCTCTGACATGCTCTGGAATATCAATGCTGCATCTTCATGTGAGCCAAATTCTGCATATCCTGAGATCATTGAATTGTATGTAACCAAATTTTTCTGTCCTGACATGTGTTTGAAAATTCTGTATGCATACTCCAAGTTGCCGCACTTTGCATATGCATCAAGTAGTGCATTCGCAAGAGTCGGTTCTTTATTACCAAGCAAAATGCCATACTTTATAGAAAAACCATGAGCTTCTCTGACCTTTTCTATCCTGGACAAAGTAGTAAAAAACTGTATTACTGTTAACATAGTAATAAAATCAAGCCTCATTCCTTCCCTCAACAGGCAGTGCAAGAGATCAATAAATTGAGTTTCATATTTATTCTCACTAAGAGCATCCAATATGGAGTTCCAAGATATCAAATCTTTCCTAGATATCAACAAGAATACATTCAGTGCAGCTTCTTTGCAGCCACAATTGGAATAAAATCTAATTAGGGCATTCTGTACAGATGTATCCTTGCATAACAGAGAATGACGAACAACATATCCATGGATTTGCTTTCCAGCCTGCAGATTAGATAACTGGCCACATGCAGGAAGAACACTGACTATGGTGATAGGGTCTGGTCCCATTACATCCATGTCAACAAGTTCATGAAACAACTCCAGTGCTTTCAACCATTGACCACATGAGTCATATCCAGAAATTATTGAGTTCCAGGACACCAGATCTGTAAATTTCATCCTCTTGAACAAGGTCACAGCATCTTCCATTTGTCCAATCCTCAAGTAAAAGCTCAAAAGAGCATTTACCACTGTAATCTGTGTTGCCAATTCGGCCCGTCTTAGCACATAGGAGTGGATCTGCCTCCCAACCCAATGACCAACAGTGTCTTCCAAATGAGCACAAAGAGGCAAAACATTTACAATTGTTGCATAATTTGGTGGAACTTTCAATCTCAGCATCCACTGAAACATTTCAAATGCGTCATCTACACTATGATTTTCCATCAAACCAGCAATAATTGCATTCCACGAAATAACATCTTTCTCAACAATTCCATCAAAAACAGCAAAAGCATCCATTACCAACCCCAACTTTGCATACATGGAGACCAGAGCATTCCCTACTAATGTATCAGAATCCAATCCAGCTTTTTTAGCGTAGCAATGCACACATCCACCCACACTCAAACCTCCATAACGCGTGCACACTGGAAGGATTATAGCAAGAGTTACAGTACTCAATTTAGGTTCCTGGGCAGCATGCATATCACAAAACAACCGCGCTGCTTCAGTATCATGAACCCGAGTGCCGGCAAAACCAGACAAGATAATGTTCCACATGACTGTATCACAATTCTTTATTTCCCAGAACAGTTTCTCACAATCATCAAGAGCTTTACATTTAGCATACATGTTCAGTAAAGCTTTTGAAACAATCTGGCAAGAAACATGGCCTTGTTTAATAACATGGCTGTGAAGAGCCTTCCCCAAGTTTACATCTGCTTTTGCAGCACAAGACTTGAGAGTATCTGCAAAAACTTGGTAATCAAGTTTAAAGCTTGACCAACATTTTAACTTATGGAAAAAGAGAGAAAATGCTTCTCTCATCTTCCCAACCACAATCCAACATCCCTTCAGTAATAAACACTACAAAACTCAACTCGGGCTTATCCCATTTAACATGGTCTAACATTAAATCATCAAAAGATAATCTTGAAAAATAAGTTTATCTTAAACCGTAGTTTTCATTGGATAATACTACAAATAAAGATATCCCCATGGTACCCATCAGCCATAATGGAGACTCATGAGTTCACAAGTAGTAAAAAACCAGGAATTTTGTTTGAGACACTTCATCAAACACATTATAGGCGTTACCAAATATTAGCTGATTTAAAATGTCAAGCACAAATTACGGGAAAACATTTCGCATTGAGAAGATTCTGACTGGTGGGTTTGTGAAGAAGAATCGAAATTGAGGCTAGGTGTAATTGGAAGAGGGCAGTATTGGTTCGCAGGGCAATGGCGAAACAGCAATCTGTTCGATCTTCTGGGGTTAATTAACAATTATAGTTATTCGATGGTATTGACAATTCGGTACTTTAGGAACAGATTTATTTCATTTCAGACCCAAATCAATAACACTGGACACCTAGTCCCGAGTTCGAGCCCTGGTCCAGCACGCGTAAATTAAAGTTGTTTAGGGTTCTTATTCTTAGAGTAGCCATATTAAAACAGATTAATTTTAGCATTTTTATTTAACTTTCTATCCATTTCAACAAGGGATTGAATGGGGTCTTAGAGCCGAATCTTGGGTCAAATCCGCCTATGGTGGCATGCAAATTTTTATTTTTGGTAATTTTTTGTTTTCTAAGTGATTTTCTTATCAATTATTATGTTTTTTATTAGACATCTTTACTAAATTATTAGCTATAAATATGTATAGTCTAAGGCTATTGTAGAACATTCATATAGTAGCCGAATTTAACGACTGGTTGTTAGTGCAGTTGCATTGCGTGCAATTTAGTTTGGTTAGTATGCATATTTAGACCTTGTTTGGATTGTTATTTTTAGGATTTTTTGGAGGAAAAAATACTGTAGCGGTTTAATATATGTAAGGTAAAAAAGTGATTGAAAAATGTGTTCACGGAAAACGTAAAAATTTTTTGACAGAAAATCACAATCCAAAAAAGGGAGAAAATTTTTTGATATACAGTCTCGTTATAATATTGTATTAAATATATATATATTAAGAATTTTATTCATGCATATTACTTTTCAATTATTACAATAATAAAATATAACTGTACATTGAATAAAATAAATAAAATACAACCACCCGATTGAACTGCGCGAAATGACAATCCCACTGGCACCATTCCACATTTAGCAGGGAAGAAATGACGTTTCTTTTCGTGACTAAATTATACATGACTAATCATGAGGCAAATTGTTTAATTTTTTATGTTTAGGGTCCGAAGTGAAGTGTTAATTTATAGTATATAATGAATAAGGAAATTTAGTGTAATTAACTCTTTTTAAATTTTGTAGATACCCACACATACACACATATAAAACAAGTTACAATACTGAAATTTAATGGACTAAATATTTAAAACCAAAAAAGAAAACGGTTGTGATAGATATGCATGTGATATATATATATACCAAACTGATTTAAAAAAAAAAAAGACTTTTCCTCAGATCCAATATAAACAAACTACCTAATCTTTTGATTATGAAATTAGAGAAGTTATCCCAATAGAATGTGTCAACTTTGTTTACCTCAAAGAAGAAAAAATGCATTTTATTTGAAAACTACAATAATTAACAAATATTGTATATTTTTTTCTTATCGAAAATGTTAATGGCACTCCCTATGCAGAGAAAATAAGAGTAAAAAATCTAGAAAAATAAACAAAGAGAATCTAGAAAAACAAGAGTAAAAAATAACCAGGAAATTAAAAAAAAAAAAGGAAATTCAAATACTCAAACATGAATAAATAAAATAAGTAAAAATAAAGAGATTTAAAAGTTGAAAATACATACCATGTATTTATTGCCATGAGCCTAAAAGAAAAAACAAAGTATTTATTGGCATGACGAGTATAGCAGGTTAACCATGCTTGTTCTTCTTCTGACCAAATACTAAGAACTTGTTTGTATTGTTATCTTTTAGAGTTTTTGTAGAAAATATACTGTAGCGATTTGATATATGTGAGATAAAAATATAATTGCGAAATGTGTTTATAGAAAATGTAAAATTTTTTGGAGGAAAATATCTTTCCAAACCAATATAATTAAAAGAGCATCCATGGTCATTTTCTTTTTTTATACCAATATCAATCAAAGGCGCCTATATGCAAACGCATTTATCTAAATAAAATTTTCCAGTTTATTTACTTACCAAAATAATAAGTTCAAAATTATGCAACCCACCCTATTTGGATTACCTATTCTTTCTACTTCTGTTCTAAACATGAGAGAGAGAGAGAGAGAGAGAGAGAATTTGCAATACAAAATTATATTTCTGTTAAATAACAAATGAAAAATGCAAAACATGTGTTTAATCAATGGATTAATTTTTTATACACTGACAGTGTATACACTATCACCATTGGACGCATGACAACTCATATGAATTTAAATTTAAAATTCAAAATTTATTCATTTATTATGCATCCAACCATGATAGTATATACACCGTCAGTATATGTAAAATTTATTCTTAATCAATTTGCGCAATGTAGCAGTATTTTTTTCCTTTTTAATCCTCCTATCTATATCTATATGTATTGCAGAAGGGATTTTTAGCAGAGACCCTCTCAATGGCTTCTAAACTTCTCATTCTTTTTTCTAGATTTTTGTATTTATTTTAATACATAAAAAGTAGTGGGTTATAACTAACCCTATCACCAATCAAATTTAAAATTTAAAACATTCCCACTATCTACTTCATAAATCGTTTATACTTTATTATTTATACTTTAAATCCTTTTTACTCCTTAATTAAAGACAAATACTCATTCGTATGCTATTTTAATACAATGTTATATTTTTAGAATTAAGAAATATTTATCCCAAACTAACCATATAATCACCCCAACAAATGAGTTTTGCAAATTACAATCACGTTTCACAAAAATCACAAATGTGCAACTAATGTAAAGTGCAATTAAATAGAAAGTTGAGGAGGTAAAGCACGCTAAATGTAAGGTTAAGGGATTTATTATATTTAACCCTAAAATAAATCCCAAGAACGGAACAAGTAGTGGATTATAGATTTTTGTCTAGATTTCTGTATTTATTTTAATACATAAAAATTATTGGGTTATAACCTACCCTATCACCAATCAAATTTAAAATATAAAACTTTCCCATAATCTACTTCATAAATCATTAAATATATTTATACTTTAAATTCTTTTTATACTTTTGTATTTATTTATACTTTAAATCTTTTTTACTCCTTAATTAAAGACAAATGTTCATTCACATGCTATTTTAATACAATTTTAATTCGGAAGCATACAACATGATCAAGAAACAGCAGAACCAATTAGATTTTGACCACAAAAAAAAATAGGCCTAGATGCCACTGGCACGTTGACGTAACTTGCGATGCCAATTAGGACTATTTAGCGTTTTTTTTTTGCAAGGAATTAGGGCATTATAACCCTTATTTAGGCAAACTTTACCTCATCGGTGATTTGAGTATCAAGTTATTGAATATACTACAAATCCTATAATCATGCTCACATTTTCTCTACGTTTCCTCCACGTTTCCCACTCCAATTAAGAGTCCTCCAATTTAAGAAATGTTTATCTCTTAAATAATCCTATAACCGCTCCTAAAAATCCTATAATCATGCTCATGTTTTCCCTACATTTTCTCCCACTTTCCCACTCCAATTAAGAGCCCCCAAATTTAAGAATTCCACTCCAATTAAAAGTCCTCCAAACATAGCATTCTCATTCAACTTTCTTGCATACTCACTCCAATTAAGAGAACTTTCTTGCGTTTTTCCCAAGAACTTATTATCTTCTTCAAGTTTTTTATGGTATTCATCTTAACCCTTAACCTAATTTCACCATGGAACATGCTCGCCTACAAGCATTTCAATGACAGCTAAATTTCAAACTCACAAGATTACAAAGGAAGAAACATTTGTTTAGAAAACGAAACGTGCACTGCAACAATTCCATATAGCAGTTCGAAAAGTTTCAGCAACTTTGCGTTAACGAAAGAGAAATCTCACTCAAATTCGAAGGACAAAATCCCAACTACACCGATGTGAAGGTCATTTTTCAAAAACAGTGTGCATGCATTATAATGACGTGGTCGACACTGTTGTTAGGTGATTAATTTTATGTACCTTTAATTTCAACATATTTTCTATATTGTATATAACATTTTATTTGTCAAACAGGTACAATGTTCACATACAAATCAAAAATTTCAGTGGTAACATGCATCTTAATCTGCATAATAGACATGCACGATTCGTATTTGGTTGTGATGCTTTTTATCTCAGAGAATTACAAAGGAAGGTAGAATTTTTTGATATATATTTATTTTTTATAATGCTATTTATAAACTATGTAAAAAAAAATACACTAATTTTGAATTTCGCACGTACTTAATTCTTAGGACAATGGTGATAGGTTGTTCAACCAACGAATCAATTCATACAAAGATCGTGCATTTTCATTTGTAGTATGCACTCCACAAAATCCAACAGAATTAATTAAATCACCAATTTTGGCTTTCGTACTAAAAGTTGATTGGTGTAAAGAATGTTCGCACCTTCATACAAGATTATCAAATCGAATGCATAATATTTGTAAGTATTTCATTTTAACAACATTTAATTACATTCATTTTTATTCATACATCATTCATTTTCTAATATAAATTTCTATTATTTTTTCAGGATCTATCTTTTGAAAAAAAAGATAATTTTTGAATGATATACACATTCCATCATATTTTAAACTATTGTTAGACAAATATTGCATTTTAATTGTATTGGTGCAATTTTTTAACCTTTTTTAATTCATCCTTTTATTTTTATTTTTTTAATAATGTCAGCACCGTGTGTAGCACGGGTATTCACACTAGTTAAGCAATGTAATTAGAGCTGTTAATCGAGCCGAGTCGAGCCGAGTATTTGGCTGCCGAGCTCGACTCGAGTTTAATTCGAGCCGAGCTTGACTCGAGCTCGTTAGGAAAACGAGCTTTAAAATGTGCTCGAACTCGGCTCGTTAAATGTACATGTGGCTCGAGCTCGAGCTCGAGCTCGATTCGTTTATCACAAACGAGTCGAGCTTCACGAGCTCGAGCTCGAGCTCGAGCTCGTGCAAATTAAGCTTAATAAAAACCTATAATTTTTAATTTTTATAATTTTGATTTCTAAAATGACAAATATGCCCTTCATTAACGAGCTCTAACGAGCTACTCGAGTATCAAACGAGCCGAGCTTACTCGGCTCGTTAACTAAACGAGCATGTTTCGAGCTCGAGCTCGACTCGTTA